CGGAAAAGGTGGTCGGGAAGGGGGGGTGCACACCTATGAAGATGATGCAGGGCTCCAGCTTGGACGCGAGGGTGAAGATGGCGCGGATGAACTGCGGGGCCGGGGGCCGCGTCGAGGGCGGGGGCGGGGCGGCTCATGCTGGCTGGCGTGGGGGCTGTCGGCGTTCAAGGGGTCGAAGGCGCTCGCGGCGCTGGGGCTGCGGAGGCTCAAAGGCGGAGCGCCAGCCGCCCGCGCCTCGCGAACAAGCGGCCGGGGCTGAGCGGGGCCGGGGGCGGCGGCGCGAGGGCGCGGCCCGCTGGGTTGCCGATCGGGCTGGCCTGCACCTGCGCGACGCCGGGCTCTGAGTTCGCCGCCCCGCGACTGCCCCCCCCCCCCAAACAGCCCGCCGGCGGCCGTGCTGACGCTCTCTCCACCCCCCGCCAGACGCACGCACACACACACACACACACACAAACACACTCTCACATCCACACTCAGTAATCCGCACCTTGTTTGCGTCCCCGTACCACTTTGACAGCACAGCGGATGCCGTGATGTTCAGGAAGAAGCAGTCCGCCTGGGGGGTATGGGGGAAAGGAACGGGCCGCACGGGAGATGCGTCAAGGGCAGGGGGTGGGTCGCGCAGCGGCAGGCGCAGGGCGTCGCTGGGGTCCTAGTGAAACAGCGCCTGGCCCGCCCGGCCCGCAGCCGCGCGCGCGTGCGCCGCATCCCCCGTTGCTCCTGGCGCGCGAGCCGCCCCTTGCGGCCGCGCATGCAAGCGGGCCCGTGGGCGCCCCGCATCCCCTTGCCCCCAACACCCACCCACCCACCCACCTCCCGCGCCATGGCCTTGGCCAGCATCGTCTTGCCGGTGCCGGGGGGCCCGTACAGCAGCACACCCTTCACCGGCCGCCACAGCAGCGCGCTGACTGCGTCGTGCTCGCGCAGCGGGCGCAGCACGCGCAGGCGCTGTGGGCGCGAGGGAAGGGGGGTGAGTGCGGGGGCGCAGCGGCGGCGTTCAGGGGTGCGCCAGAGGACGTGCACAGTTGAGGTGCTCAACATTCTGGGCTCTGCGCCCTAATTGTATGGTGTTTCGCCGGCTCGCACAACTTCTGTTCTGGCCAGCTCAGCAGGCTTGTCGGATGCTAACGCTTGGTCGTCGGCTAGCACGCGCCGAGGCAGCAGGAGCAGCAGCAGCAGCAGCAGCAGCAGCAGCAGCAGCAGTAGCAGCAGCAGCAGCAGTAGCAGCAGCAGCAGCGGCGGCGGCGGAGGCGGCGGAGGCGGCGGCCGCGGCGGCGGCATTCAAAGCGCGCACCATGTCCCTCTTGACGCCGTCCAGGCCGCCCACGTCGTCCAGGGAGACGTCGATCTGGTGTGGGTTGAGGACGCTCGCCGCCAGCAGCTGCGCGCGAGGGCGAGCGGCAAGCACAAGGTCGCCTCTTTTTGGGAGGCGGGCGCGGCGGCGCGGGAGCCGGCGCGGCAGCACTGGCGCTAGGAACTCTTGTTGTTTGCGATCCCGAGGGGCTCGCGTGCTGCTGACCGACATGCTGTGGCGGCAGCTGCCCGGCAGCGCACCTGCTCATACTCATTTAGCACCAGGCTGCGCCCCAGCCGCTGCTTCAGCAGCAGCGCCTGCCGCTTGGCCTGCGGGGGCGAGGGAAGGCGGAGGGGCGTTGTGGGAGGGCGGCTGCGGGAGGGCGCCCTGGCACCACCAGGCGTCAGCTGCCGGCCAAACCGCAAACCTCGCAGCAGCACAGCCCTGCGGCGGCACAGCGCATGGACACGCCCACCTCCTTGCGCTGCTCCCGGTACTGCGAAGAAGTTTTGAGGGGCGTGGCGAGGCAGGGCAGGGGCTTCAAATGCGATCTTTCAACATGACCTAGGAGAGCCAGCCCCGGGACTGGGTAGCATTGGGCAGCACCCACAGCTTGGCTGGCGCGGCGGCGCCCAGCCGCGCAGGCTCAGCATCTGCTACCGCCCCTGTTGCCGCCCCTGCTGTGCTCTGCTCGCGTTCGCCCCACTCCTCCCTACACAAAGCGGCTCACGGGGTCCATGTAGGACAGAGTGATCTTGAGGGCAAACATGAGGCCCCCAAGCATGACGGCCGTCGCAGCCAGCTGAACAGGGGACGGCAGGCAGGGGAGCGGCACGGGAACGTCTGGATTGAGGCGGAGACGGCCGACAAGCGTGTGTTTCAATTCGGCTTTCCCATGCGCCGCCTGCCAGCCACGGCGGCGGCACGCCAGGCGCCATCGCATGCGGCAGTCGCAGGCGTGGCCAGAGCTGGGCTGGTTGGCGCACGCCCGGGGGCAGTCACGTGATATGTCAGCCTCTACAGCAGTCGGAGTCGGTCCCCACCTCTCCGAGCACACTCTTTCCAGCCCCGCGGCCGCTGCGCTGCAGCCCGCCTGGTGCCAGCGGGATGCCGCCTGCGGGTGGCGGCGCTCTAGAAATTGCTGAACCCATCTCGCGTGCTGCTGTGATTCCTCCAATAATTCACTGCCACTTGTGAGCCCGCGCGCTGGACCTGGTGCATGCACACGCTGCGTCGAAGTTCAAGGCTCGAACCGCACTGCTTGTTAGGCTTCAGGGAGCTCGTCACCGTGAAACTTGCAGTTATTAGCACTGACTCTTACGGTCGCATGCACATGTAGATCTGTTGCTGCTGATCACGTCGCACTCCAGGGTCACTTGACACACAACGTGGCGGTGGGACGCATTGCAAGCAGCCACCAAAGGTTGGTTTCCTTTATTACCTTCACAATTAATTTTGCATCTGATTTGCACACGTTCGCAGAGCGTAAGAGCCTGGCATAGAATTGCGTGATGGTGTTCAACTGCTTGTTCCCCAGCATACCGTAGCAACCGAAAGCAACACATTGTGGGCTCCGTATGGATCATGACACAACCACACCATGTTTTTTCCCCATTATTGTTGACCGTCATCCCTGTTCTTGCCCTTGTCTTCAACCCTCTGCTGCCCCACACAGCAAACAGGCACCAACTCAAAGTGCACAGATTACTGGGGCGGCGCGGGCCAGGAACTGACTCGAAGAAACGGGACGCATGCAGGACAAGGACGAAAGCTTGATTTCAATGCAGTTGTGGGGCAGCAGGATTGAACGATGCGGATTATGCCTCGGCTTGAGGCTTGTGGCTGAAGGCAGGCTTCCAACCACTCAGAGTCCATCGATGACCCACGAAGGTCACAAACGAAGGAGAGAAAATTGCAGCGATGACTAGGCCCGCTCCTCGCCCTCGGCCTGCTCGCGCTTGTTGTAGGGGCAGTTGGCGCTCTCCTTGGACTCAGCGCCGACGACCAGGAGGAGGAGCATGTTGATGGTCGCCGTCATGATGAAGCCAGCAGCTGCGCCACGCGATGTGTGCAGCTCCAAACCGCTCTGGTAGTGCTGTGCTCATATAGTGGGGAATTTGATAAAGTTGTGAGGGTGACTCACGCATGTTTGTGATTCGAGTGCACAGCTATGATTGTATCCATTCTGGCTGCGCCCCCTCATCTGTTTAAGCAGCTTTGCACAAGCGACCCCAGAAGGACTTCCTCTTCTCAAGGTGTTTCCGTGCTGCCCAAGCTTGATGCGCGTGACAGGTGGCCAAATCTTGTGCTGGCGCAATTGAGCTGGCCTGTGGTTGGGAAGTACATGACTTGCAGGCAGCAAACGTTGTGTCTGTCTGCCTTCGGAAGTTGGCCAAGCACTCACGCACCTGCACGCTGTTGATCGTCAAAAAGGTGTCCGCGGCCTGGGTGCACAGTGCTGTCGCCACAGCAAGCAGGCCCGTCCAAGCAAGGCGCATGGCGGAGAGGTGGCCGCCAGCAATGGTAAGGGCCAGGCCGCACAGCACGATAAACTCCAGAGCCACAATCCACCTGCAACGTTTTGGGGCGGGTTGAAGGCACAGTCAGCCCAGGCGCACTGTGCGTATATATTGGCGATGTACCGGTAGCAGCAGAACAATCAAAAATCCATCAAGACATGACACAACATGCCAGATGCCTGGTTTTTGTGTAATCCTGGGAGTCCGATGAGGTTTTGCTACACGATCTGCTCACGCACCAATAGTAGCTGTAGACCCTCGAGCAGGTCAGGTGCACAGGGCTGAGGCCTGCAGGTGGGAATTGCACATCAAATCGAAATGTGTGTACTTGCCGTGGCAGGTTAGCTCTAAATGGCTTGCGAAATGCTGGACATTGCTGCATGCGTACGGCATATCGCCCCTTTATGCATGCGGCATGCAACCCCTTCCTGCATGCGCCATGCGGCACCCGCTCCTGTTCAGCAAAAATCGTGGACCAACGCCAAACGCACCGCGGACGCCGGACAGGTACCCAGTGTTGTTGAAGGGCTCCGTGCACAGGTACTGCAGCGACCCAAGGCCACCAAGAGAGATGACCCTGCATGTAAACGGTGGCAACGGGTTGGCGCGGGAGCACTTGATCGCTGTCGCCAGAGTTGCGCTCCCTGCTCAGCGAGCTGTGCAGCGGTGCGGCCAGCGGCATCGGGGCGCTCGGCAGCGCTCGACCCATGCCCGCACCAGAACAGAAAGTTCAAAGAGACCAGAGGCAGCACCAGCTTCTGGGCGCAGGTAAAGGGACAGGCGAAGCCTGCGAGAGGCACCGAGGTGAAACCGGGCATGGCCCGTATCAGCACCGATCAGCGGGTTGTGGTTCTGTGTCCACGTCAAGGATATCCTTGAATCTATACCACCATTCAGAGAGAAGGGCCGAGCCGAAGCCTCGCGCACCGGCCATGGTGTGCGTGTCGCGGGAAGCGTCAAAGAAGGCGAGACACTGATTTATGCGTAAGGGGCTTAAGGGTGCAAGCGAACGTGTTCCATATGAATCGCTCAAACTGGTGCGGTGCTTGCTTTGGGGAAGCAGCAGCAGCACTTCCCTGCAGCAGCTGCCGGCGCAGTGTTTTGAGCTGGTTTGACCGCCTGCACGGACGCTCGGTGTGAGTGATGTGCGCTTGTGTGCCTTCAAGGGGCATTCAAACACACAGTCTTGCCAGAAACCCCTGCTAGTTGTCTTGCCAGGCGCGCACGTGGCTGCAAGCGGGGCGGTGAACCTGACTCCAGCACATCACGGACCCGCAGCGTATGGTTGCTGTGTCATGCGTGAGCATGATGTGGTACCCGCAGAACTCCATGTATGCATGCATGGTTTTCATGCAGAATGGCACTCACATGCAGTTGTGCGCTGTGACGCCACCATCCTCACTCACTGCTGCACAATCAGAATGTGACATTCCCAAGGCAGCAGGCAGCGTGTGTGCAAAACAGATGGGTGGCACCTCCACTATGAAGGGTTTTGTACTTGGCTTGCATGAATCACCGTTGCTCAAAGATAATGCAAAGCAATCCACCATGCACGCATACACATGCATGCACGCATGCGGCGTGTGCCTCATGCAAGTGAGACCTTTGATCTTGCACGGTTTGCTAACGCGCTAGAGTGCATTGTGAATATCAGCCCAGAGATCGGGGATGCGTATCGCAGGCTTGCAAACTGCAGATGCACAAGTGTTGGCTTTGCACCGTCGCACTCGTGCGTGCTGTGCAACTGCTCATGGGAGGGTACTCACAGGAGCTGCCCGAAAGGTTGAGGGCACGCAATCTATGATGCCGTGTTGATAGCAATTATAGTTGTATACGTCTCATGAGGGTCGCTAAATGTGTCTTGTCCTCGCGCCAGAACTGCGTGCTAGTGTTGTGTGACGCGCAGGCAAACGCATTCGGTCGCTGAGCGTATCTGGCGGGTGAATTGTCAAAACTTCCGATTTTACAAGCCCAGACAACTTCTGTTTGGCCGCATGGCCCCTCTCGGCCCAGCAGTGGCGGGCAGTCCGTGGCGCGTTGATGTGAATTTCGTGGCAAAGGGCGTGCTGCACGCCGAAGCCCAGGCTACCCTGGAGCTGATGCCTGAAGAGGCCCTGCGCATCATCACACACCCAGCTGGCGACGAACTGTTCCGCGTGGTTAGCCGCCGCACGGTCGCCGTGCCGCTCACCAGGGAGCAGCGTGGCGGGGACGACGGTGAGCACGACGGTATGCTCTCCAGCGTCGAGGTAGAGAACCGCGCGCCGGTGCGGATCGTCGCTTACAAGTTCTGGGCCATCAGCCGCGTGCAATTTGATGTGCGTCTTGCCCAGGCAACAGTGCCAGAGGCGGGGCCCATCAGGGCATTCCGGACAGCGGCGATCAGCAGCGGCGGCCGCGGCAGCACCAGCCACCCTGGGAGGGCCGGCAGCAGCGTCACGTTCAAGCTGCTCAGCTCGGTAAGGACCATGTGTGTGTGTGACTAGTGCCTTGATATGGCAAAGCGTCAAAACAAATGCAGCTGGTTTGCCCCTCCGCGTGCGCCAGGTTGTTGGTGTGCAGAGACGGGTGCTGTGTGCCAGGAGTTGCAAACCACCCGCTGCGTGTAACCTCCTCTCTTGTCGCCACTCTCAACCGCAGAACATGCTGAAGCAATTGTCAGGTGGATGGCGGCTTGAGCCCCTGTTTGGGCCGCCGGGCTGCGGGGTGGCCAAGGAGGTGGTTGGGACCCGGCTGAGCTATGAGCACGACGTCCAGCCCAAGGGGCTGCCGCCGGGGGTGCAGTACGTGCCAGGCATGAGCGGCGCCGTGTGCACGTCAGTGGCCAAGGAGGTGGGTGACACCATAGGGGCGCGATGACATCAATGCTGCCTCGGTCATGTGTTTTTACCCTGCGTTCTGCGTATGCGCAGTGGTTACCCTTGCAGGCAGCAGTAGCCACGTGCCTAGTTTCCCTCCAAAACTGCATGCTGATGGATTGAAACTTTGGCATCATCAATGGGCACCCTGCAGGTGCGACAAATGGTGGACAAGATTGCCTACGTTGCCGACAAGGTCCGTTGGGGGCGTGTCGGTGGTGTCGGAATTTGAGTGGTGCTGGGCGCCAGCCCCTGCCCTGTATCTGCAGGGCAGCATCCTTGTGTGACAGCTCGCGCCAAGCAGGCAGGCGGCAGGGTGCAGGGTGCGGGGTGCGGGGTGCGGGGGCGCAGGGTGCAGGGTGCAGGGTGCAGTGTGCAGGGTGCGGGTGCGGGTGCAGGGTGCAGGGTGCAAGGTGCAGCGTGCAGGGTGCAGCGTGCAGCGTGCGGCGTGCAGGGTGCAGCGTGCAGGGGATGTAAAGGGATGCGCGTGCTGGTGGGTGTGCGTGTGTGCGCCAACACGTCGGCCGGGTGATGTGTATTCACACATAGTCTATTTTCTGTATTGCCTCCTGCAGGTCAGCAGGGGCCTTCCAGTGGTGGCCGCGCTGGAGCAGACAGTGGAGGAGCTGCGGGCAGCAGGAGGATCCTTCAAAAAGCTGCAGGCGGCGCGGCAGAGGAGGCCGGGGGCGCTCATTGCAGCAAGCCGCGGAACTGCGGGCAAGGTGCACTTGAAGAGCGTCCCGCTGCTGCTGGATGTCGAATGCACCTAGACCTTAGCTTGGTCTAGGCCCGCTGTAGTGGGAGGCTGTGCCAGGCGACATCCCCAACCTTGGAACCATTCTGGGAGCTTCCTTTCTTTCTTCAACTGCTTTCATGCACCATACGATCATGGGCGTGCTGTGTCTACAAGTTGCTGGTTTAGAACCTGTTCAAACGTAGCAGTAAAGTTAGGAGCTTACATCTTCCTGATAGGAAGGCCTAGATCAACAATCATACAGTCATTCACACTGTATGTTAAGGGACATTTCCTTTTGATTTTGTCAATCGCACATTGTACACATGTAAACCAGCACACAGAAGGTCATCGGCGACTGCACTCGGCATTGCCCAGGTCAACCGCGTAGCCTTCTGGAGGCACCAGCCCTTGCTGCGCCAGCCATTCCCCATGCACGCCAATACCCCCGCTGTGCATTTTGGCTAGGCTTCCATCCTGTGCTGCGCGCGATTCAATGCAGCCAGGATCACGACACCACAACCCAACCTCCATGCATTTTGTTGCGGTTGGGCGTTTGGGGGGTACTGTAGGGAGCAAGAGCATACGGTACGCATAACCACCTACCGGCAGCAATATTGACGTGAAATCGAGGTTTGTTACTTCCTCAAGGCACAACAAGCACTGGCAATGCAGCGAGGACAGCAGCAGGGGTTCTGGCTGGTGCAAGGTCTCTCCCTGACTCACGTGTAGTACCCGTTTTGTCAACACCCTTCTTGCTGCACCATACGCGTTTATGATGTTGTGTGCATGTGACCACAACATTTATTATAGCTGCATCATTTTGCTCACGTAGTCGCATCCAAGCGTCTGCAGTGCCCCCCTACAGGAGGTTCATCAGTCCTAGATCATTTCTGACAGCCTCTAGCGCCTAGCAGGTATCAGCAATGAGCGCAGAAGAGGAGCTTCATGAATTGCAGCAGAGGCTGCAGCAGTTCACAGCCTCCGTGGCCCCAAGAGATGATCTAAGGCAGTTCTTGAAGCTGGTGCGCAGCCGGTTTTCCACTGGACCGCTTGTCACGATCTCCGACCGGCTATTCATCTCTTTTGTTCACGCAATCACTTGTGTGGACCCTGTTGTGGTGCCGGTGCGGCCTTGTCCTGCGCCGCAGTCACGCGACGCACGAGTGCCGAATGCAGAGCTGGTGGCGCGTTATGGGACGCAGCTGCTCAGCCACTACCGCAGAGGCTTGTCAGAGGAGGAAGGTCAGTATGTGTGTAACTGTTGCATATCCGCATCTGCAGCTGCGCTTGGCCGCTGCCAGGGCAGGGGTTTCGTGACGGAGGCCCTCGCCTGTGCCTTCGTCGACTGCGCTGCTGCTGTCCCAACCTTCCACACGCCGCGCCACAGTGTGGCTGCTGCACGAGCAGGTGGCAACGGCGGCGCTTGAGGTCGGCGCGACAGGCCTGGCGGCGGAGCTGATCCGCGCTGTGCTGCGGCGCTTCCCGAAGGAGAGCATGCGGGCGAAGCGGCTGCAGGTGGGCGGCCATCTCAAAGGCCTTCGTGGCACACATGGCCGTACACACCGTGCATGCAGTCACGCGCAGACGGGCAGGAACGCTCAGCGCGTCGACGCCACCCGCAACCCGTAACGCAGAGCGAGTGACCCACAGCAGCGGCCTGCGTCGACACCTGGTATTGATTGTTGATGCGTCAACCTTTTCACGCACTCTGCCCTTGCAGGGGATGTTTTACGAGGCCCAGGGCAACCCAGAAAAGGCTGAGGGGTTCTACCACGAGATCATCAAGGAGCAGCCCAGCAACCAGACCATCTCCAAGCGGCTGGTGGGCGCACGCACGCACGGTCCTGGCCGCGCGCGGGGGGCGGGCGGTGCGGGGTCCTGTGGAGGCAGCCTGACGCAAACAATGGAGACGCCCGCCTTCAACGGCGCTCGCCATGGGGGGAGAAGCAACCGCTGCAACAAACGCAGCAGCAGAAATGGTCCACTTGGGTGCAAGTTTTGCCTGCGGGGATCACGCGAGAGCCTGTCTCTCATCTGCCCGCTCTGGCTTCCCTACACCTGCCCCACCCTTCGCGCCGCCCGTGTATGCGCGCCGCGCGCTGCGCGCCGCGCGCCCAGGTGGCGTGCTGCCGCACCAAGGGGGACCTGCCTGGCGCGGTGGAGTACCTGCGCACCTACCTTGACTACTGGATGAACGACCGCTCCGCCTGGGAGGAGCTGGCGGACCTATACCTGGAGGTGGGGCTGCCGCAGCAGCCACTGCTGCACCCAGGGGGCAGCGTGGAGGCGGGGGTGGTGGCACCACTCGCGGGGCCAGAAAGGGGGCGGTGCTGCAGCCATATGCAGGGCCGGTATAGGGGGTTGACGCCGCCGCCCGCCGCGGGGCCAGGGGCAAGCGGAGGCGGCGGGAGGCCCTGCCGGGTCGTCGCACCGTGCGGCGTCCCGCGCGGCGCATGGTGGTGGCGCGACGTATCCCTTGGCCCCGCAGGGCGTTTGCCATTTCCTTCACTCCGGCGCTTCCGCTTGAATCGAGTCAGCCAACACTCTGCCTGCGACTGCTGCTGCCCCTCCTCGCAAACCTCCCGCTGCTCCGCCCAAACCCTCCCCCCCCCCATTTCGTCCAGATGGGGTTGTACCGCCAGGCGGCGTACTGCCTGGAGGAGCTCATCACCATGGCCCCCGGCGAGCCCAACCTGCACGTCCGCTACGCGGACGCGCTGCTCACCCTGGGGGGCGCCCCCAACGCCCGCACCGCGCGCGCGTACTACGCGAAGGCGGTGCAGCTGACGCGCGGCCGCAGCGCGCGCGCGCTGTACGGGCTCGCGGCGGCGGCGGCGGCGCTGCAGGTGGGGGCCAGGGGCCGGCAGCGGCGGGTCGCCGCCTCGGCGGCATTCGATCGCGCGCCGCTGCATGAAGACCTTGTGGATCCGGGTTGGTGCCCAGCACCTCCCTCCCAGCACTTCCAGACATTCACTTGTCCCGACCACTCCCCGCGGCCACGCCTGACCACCGATCACCAACCGCGCCCAGGGCCAGGCGGGGCAGTCCGACGCGGGCGCCAAGCCCGAGGCGCAGGAGCTGCCGCAGGCGGCGGGCGAGGCGCTGGTGCGGCTGTACCGGGAGCAGGCGCCGGGCAAGGTGCCGCTGGTGGAGGCGCTGCTGAGGCGGCAGGGCGTGCTGGTGTAATGGGAGCGGCGCCCGCGAGTGCTGCCAGCAGGTGTACCCTCGGCTGCGAATTACAGCCGTAGCTTGGTTGGCGGGGCGTATAGAGGGTCAGGCGGGCATGAAAAGATTATCGGCAGTGCATTTGTCGACAGGAGAGGCTGGGATCCCCCTGCGGGTGCAGAAGCAACATGATAACAGGGATGCGGCGTCAAGCCCGGCCAGAGGGGATGCGTAGGGGCGGCGAGGGCCGGCGGAGGCACGGGCAGGTACTGAGAAACGGCCAGGCGAGCGCAGCCGACGCACAACGGGGCATGCTTCGCTGCGATGGCGCCGGCCATGGCCCGCGCTCGTGACGAGACGCGCTCCGCCACGTCAGAATTGGGTGCTGCACACCTGCAAACCGTCCCCACAATGCCTGGCTGGCCGAGTTTCTTGCATAGCAGTGAGTCGTGTTTGGCAATGCCACCAGGAGTGTCTGCCCTTCCAGACAGCGGGATCAATTGCAGCACCAGCAGCAGGCCACTACAGGGCGTGGTACGCAGCAGGCCAGGCGCCCTTTATAATGCGGCAGCCCGCTTAAGACATGGGTAAACCTATTCAGCAACCACCTTGTGGCATGGACTTTTGGCCTAACGACAACAGTTGCTTACAACGCTACCCTATCACTCGTCGCCCGCGGGCGAAAACAGAGCGAGCAGCGCCAATCACCGGCCCCTGCGCCCGCCCCCGCCGCCGCCGGCTTTCGCGCCCCGCTGCTGTCGCTTGCCCGCCGCCTTGCCCGCCGCCTTGCCGCCGCCACCATCCTCCCCCCCGCCCTCCTCCTCATCCCCCGAC